AGGAAAAGCAATGGGCCCAGTATGCTACCCTGCGGAACTCCCACGGAATTTTTGACTAAATTTATGTAAGAAATGAGTGAAACCGTTTAATTTAATTAAACTGAATTTAGACAGATTTTTAATTTTTCAGTTTAAGAAGCTGGAAAACACAGACTTGCTTCAGCAACATTTATTTCTTTAGCTTTTGTTTCCGTGAGTTTTAAACATATATTTTACAGACATTTTCAAGTTATTTTTAAAGTTTCCAACCTGCTATGTAGATTTACTGGTTTCATAAAAAGCATATTGGCAAAATTTTTCCTATTAAATTAAAATATTTTATTTTATTGTTATTATTATTTCTCTGCATTTCAAGCTTTGTTTAACAAAATACAATAACTTCAACTGTTTTTGCATTTTTCTCTCCATATTTTGTGTTTCCAGATGAGTCAGGTCTCTGCAGACGCCGTCACTCTGGATTTCCTGCGAGAAGCCAGGGAGCGGGTGAGAAGCAGCCCGCTGGGCGTCATCAGAACTCCCATGATCCCCTGCAGCCGGACCGCTCTGCCCCTGAGCGCCGGCGTCCAGCTCAAACTGGAGAACATGCAGAGAACCGGTGAGAACCTGTAAATTCTGCGGAGACGGACTCAAAACGTCCCGCTTGACCCCGCCTCTGGTCCACAGGGTCCTTTAAAATAAGGRGCGTGGCCAATCAGTTCGCCAGGCTGCCAAGGGGGCGCCGTTTGGTCACCATGTCTGCAGGGAATTATGGGAAGTCTTTCGCATTCGCCGCTAAGCACTACGGGATGACGGGGAAGGTGGTGATGCCAGAAACTGCACCGGAATCCAGATCCATCCTCATCCAGGTCGGCCTTCAAAATAAAAGCATTTGTTTGACCAACAAAATCAAATGAATTTCAATTGAATTCACCAGAGTTTGGGAGCAGAGGTGGAGCGAGTTCCTACGTCCTCTCTGATGGAGGCGGTGACCCGCTGCGTTCACAACGACCACATGACCTTCCTGCACTCCTACGACGACCTGGACCTGATCGCCGGACACGCCAGGTACTTCCTGTTCCAGGTCCAGACGTCTGAAAATGTCTAAATCTGAATAACGGTCCTCCTCTCGCTCCTCCAGCCTGGGCCTGGAGGTGCTGGAGGCCGTGCCGGACCCTGACGTGGTGGTGGTCTGCTGTGGAGGAGGGGGTCTGCTGGCCGGCGTGGCTGCAGCTGTCAAACTGTCAGGCTGTGAGAAAACCAGGATCTACGGCGTGGAACCAGAAGGAGGTAAAAGAAAACGAGAAACTGAGGTAAAACCGGAGAGTTGAACTGAATTCAGATGTTTTGTTTTAAACCCAGCCTGCACCATGTATAACAGCCTCATGGAGAAGAAGCCGGTGGGAATGAACGCCAAGAGCATCGCCTCTGGCCTCGCCCCTCCTTCTGCAGGTTGGTTTGTTTCAGGGGCGTCACTAGGTTTTGAGGACAAGGGGGGCTTAGACCCCAGGAGATGCACAGAATTTTTAAATAATATATATTTGTATTGTGTGTGTGTGTGTGTGTGTGTGTGTGTGTATACATATATACACTCTGTGTGTAAACTTGCTAGCACGCTGCTATTAAGGTTGCAGGAAAAACATGGACTGGATTTCATGTGGTGGGGGAGTATTCTATATGAACAAGTGGAACGCACCAAAGAGGATCTCTACTTTACACTATCAATTAAAGGGAAACTGACAGATTTATGATCATATATTTTAGTTACTAATGAAATATCAAATGGTTATTTATTCTGACCACATCATATTGAATTTTCGTAAAAGAAAAATACTTTTTTACACCAAAATAATTTAGGGGGGCTTTAAAATATTTTAGGGGGGCTCCAGCCTCCCTTAAATAGGCCTAGTGACGCCACTGACCTGTTCCATCAAGAAAACACACCGGAGCAGCTGCTACAGTAATTTACTTTTTGTTTCAGCTTCAAACTTTTAGTCTCAGCCCCCTGCTTTCCAATAGGTTCACAGTTTGTAAATCAAAGATCTCAACTTTTATATTTGTCAGATTTTATTTTGAAATTCCCCCAGCTC